CAAATATAATTAGTGCATTGTGCACTTGTGTTGGCTCAAAATTGATAAAACTGTCAGAGACTAAATTTTAATTTGGTCAATTATAGGCATTCAAAGTGCGCCGTGTTGCACAAATAACCACTATAATTATTACATATTATTTTGTTAGTTTAGTGTTTATCGCGGTTCCTTAAATGACCCGTCGGTATTCGGGTATTGTATCGCCAAACATTTTGACGAGGCACGCTAAATTTGTCAAATTTTCACGCATACAAGTGTCTGCAGTTAAATTTAAACGAGCCAATATTCACATTTTTTCACGTATTCTAATTGTTAATATCTATATAATATTATATAAGTAGTCGGATAGAACGGTCTAATTTATTTTCGAGTACTCTCAATAGTGTCATTGAGACTTTAAAAATTATTATAGGGTCACGATTACTGTCTATTCATAGGACAATTATACAAATCGTTCCTTGATACACCCCTAGTGGCCAGTAATACTATGTACGCGTCAATCATTTACTAATAAATACAGATTTAATTTAAACAATTTTTTTGGACATAATAATATGTATGTACTTATTATGTTAATACATCGGTGAAATATTATTTCTAAGTAGGTATAGTATATCCGTATAGGTATTAAAATAGTTAACCAAAAATAAGGAAAATTAATAGAAAACATTCCAAATATATTGAATAATTCTGTATACCATTCCACGCTTATGATAATGTAACACACAACTACCTATATTCACCCAATTTACGGATTGCGTGTGGGTACCTACCTAAAACGTAAAAAATTGCATTTTCCTCATAATAAGCAGTGCTGTGTGCTGCGGTTCGTCTGCTGTTCGGTATACTCATCGTATGTTAAAAACCAAAATAAGTTATTTAATCATTACTCATAGTCGCCATTACGGACGGTAATAAATCTCTGCGCAGCGTATATTGAGTATATTATATTAATATTATTATAGTGACTCACTGCGGCGGCGTCGGAGTCGGTGGCGAATATATATGTAATCCATGGACCCCCAGCAGCCCGTGTCTGTCGGCAGAGTGTTCGGCGTATGTATATAACAGCATCCGATACCGTTTTATAGGCGAAGTACGAGAAGATAATTTAGTGCGTCGAAAAGAAACGCGATTAGTGCGGGCACTGCAGCAAGACGAGACCCGTGTCGGGTCCAGACTTGACCTCCGCGCCCCGGTCACGTACCGCACGCGTCTGTAATATTCCCACGTCACTCGTTGCGATAATTTATCATAAAACTTAATGACCGACAAGGGGTTCAATCGTGCAACCGACGAGTTTCATGTATGAGGAGGGGGGGGAGTCGACACTTCGGATTCAGCCTCAATCTATAAAATATGTGGTTGAATTGAACCCCCCCGCGCGACCGTGTGTGGTGAATTCATTCGTCCAAATACGTACTATTATAGCTCTACGAAGAAACGTTATGTTCCCAACCACACTACATACAACGTAAAATTTTCAAAAAAATGTAGTATGAATATGTGCTAAATATTTTACAATCTTTTTTTTTATTCAGAGGTGTAGTAAAATAAAAAGGAATTTAAATTTCAAGAACTCCGACTGGAATCGAGTCATAATAAGATCTGATTCTGTAACCCAAATTGGCAAAAACCCTAAAAAATGTACGATAAAACGAGAACTTGAACACATTTTTTTCGAAACTGATTAGTATACCGATATTGACCGTTATCCTAGATGTGAGTTTTTCGAAAACCGACTATAAACAATGACGTAGTGAAGTATACATGTACCTATACACCTATATATATATATAATCTAACTGCATACATTATTCTGTTTTAAACGTATTCCATCGCAACAAAAATCTCCTAGGATCAATCAGAACATGCAGTCTAGTCATGCGGTCAGCTATTTGAAATCTGCAACCTCGAAGGTGTTAAGTTAAAATGTATAGGAAATTTTCAACGCAGGTAAAATATTTGTAAAAACCTCGAAATTTTACTAAAACGTCTAGCATTTATAATTTTCGAAAACCGGTATTATTTTGTTAGTTTTGTAAACTGCGCACGAATACGGGTTTAACGTATACAATAAATAGGCGTTCTATCTGGACGATATATCGCGTCCAACATTATAGTTCAAAATCCGGATCACGCGGTGTATTCTGCGAGAGTAATAATAATAAAAAAAAAAAAATCGGTTCGTATACATTAAAAAATAGTCTTATAATAACGTCGTTGCGAGTGCCGCATAATCCGAATAAATTAAAGACGTTTTCCATCTATAATCTGCCGGTGCCGGTATCTAAAGCACAGCTCTATATAGCATCAATATATATATATATATATACCAGCTGACTATCGGGACGTTTTATTATTTATGCGCATACTTTTATTTAAGTATAATAATTATAGATAGGTATAGGTTTCTGTATTTTACACATAATATACATGCCATGATTAATACATAACATATTATTGTCGTGCAGCAGCAGTCGATTTCGAGTAAAATATATAAGTAGCGTGTATATTTATAACTGTGTAATAATTATATTATAATCGTTCGCTTTTTATTTTCAATCGATCGAACCAAATTTTACTACATATTTATATTATTATTATTATTATTATTATTATGATCATAATCTCGAGCCATGGGCTCGATTTCACGTGACGACGACGACGGTGTCATGGTGCTTGAGGTCGTATTTAATATTCATTATATACATATTATAATTTATTATTTAGGTGTTGAATTCTTAAATTTTCACAACTAGTATTTACTAAAGAATGAAACAACCGTAAAACATGTGATAGATTTAAACATTTTTTGGACTCGATACATGTTTTTTGTTTTTCTTACCGATTTTGAGTAAGATGTTCGTTGTCAATGTTGTCATGGTTACTTAATAACAAAATCATATTTATGATTTCTATTGTCCTTGTAGAGGAAAAATATCGAGTAAAATGCTACTTTTTTTTTGAAAAACCAAAAATTTTTCAAATACAATTGCTGCAAATCTATGAGATTCATGTATATATAAAAATTAAGCGTACAACGGGTTTGCAATGGACTCCAAAATTAATATTGGACAACCGATTTTTATAAGATTATACTCAATGTGTGTGATTTGGTTCAACTTAAAATATAGGATAGTTGTTATCTTGATAAGTTGCCCTTCATTTTTTTTGTTTGCAAAAATTTTGTGATTCACGATTGAAATTTTTGTTTCAACATTTTTTTTGTTACAGTATTATTATAATATTAATTGTTTAAAAATTAAATGCAACAATTATTAAGGGGGTTCGAGGCGGTGATTTAATAAGGGGTCGTGTATAGGCAATTCGATGTATTATAGTCGTTTTGCAGTGTGTTTGTGTACGAAGTAAATGATCATTAGTGTGCGTAGATACGTTCGGAATCAGTGGTTCGCACCCGCATGCACATGTCACATAATAAAATATTTGTTCCAACGAGAAACTAATTTCAATCAATTGAGACCTAAAAGCCAGACAAAAATACGATAACTTAGAATGATCGGATTTTAGTTCTGTAAACATATTTGAATTCATCGTTCTTTTTTCTAGGTTATTGTGGAAGTCGATTTTTGAATAACTTTACTGTTTAACTTTTTAAAGAAAGACACAAACAATTTTCAAAAAATTGAGAAATCGAAATATGATTTAACGTGAATTCTAAAAAAATATCGAAAATTGATTCCTACAATAACCTAGGAAAATTGTCAATGAACTCGAATCTTTTTACAGAATTGAAATCTGATAATTCTAAGTAGGTATATTTTTGTCAGGCTTTTAGGTCTAAATCATGAAATAAATACGCTGCATCGAATCCCCTTAATATAAAAAAGGCTTGCTAGTTGCTAAGTCAGGGATCGGCATGTAAACTTTTTTGATTTTTAATTTTTAGAAATGTATTAACTGATATCACACCCAAGCGGTATAACAATTTGAATCCAGAAAAATGACGGTGTGAACAGCGCCACAATAAATCATTTTTATTTTGTAAGATAGATTTCTGAAACCGGAGAGCGGATTTTATTGTTTAGGGTCTTTTTAGATTCACATTGGCTAGGAGAAGTGCAGAGTGAAGATTTTCAGAACTTTATCTTTAATAGTTAATTTCACTACAGAACATTAAAAAAAATTAAAACAAATTTGATTGAGCGTTTTTCAGTGTTACAGCTTTGTAGTGAATTAACGATTGGAGATAAAGTTCTGAAAATCTTCACTACATTTCTCCTAGCCAATGTGAATCTAACAAGATAATAAACAACAAAATCCGTTCTTCAGTTTCGGAAATCTACCTCGCTAAATAAAAATCTAGAGAAAAATAACTTTTTTATCTATGAAAAATTAAATATTTTTTTTTAAAAAATTTTTATTCCCTATTTAGTGTACTTGATAATACCTTTTTAATGAGTTATCAACCAACTTTCTATTTATCATAGTTTAGGGGGAAAGTTGAAAAATAGAAATTTTGGGACTGTTCACGCCAACGTTTTTGTGGATTCAAGTGGTTTGATGTGATATCAAATCTCTCATTAATATTTTATATTGAAGCTAGCTAAATTACCTACCTACTCCTAACCTACCTACTCATCATTTCTGAGTTACATTTTTATTATTTTATTATTTAGCACAAATTCTTGAAGTTTCAAAGAGTTCACGAGTGTCAGTTAGTTGTTTGTAGTTCAAAAAATGCTGGTCGGGAAATGAACTATCAACGGGCACGTACCCTGTACTACCCCGTAACCACCAACTTACCTTCGTAAGAACAACCTTATTATTATGGCTAAATAGATGTGTCCTATGTACGGCGATAGAACAGTTCGTGAGTCTGTTGTGAAAATTCAAATGAATAGTTCCAAGTATACCCTAACATTATCACTTTTACCCAACTTTTGATAATACACAAAACGAAATTAATAACATTTTCGTACGATATTTTTTGCATTTCAAATATATTGTTTAAGTAAAATAATATTTTTTTGCAGACGCGTCCTGTTCGAACGAGGCTGTGCACTTACAACAACGGTTGCGAAGTCTAAGCACCGAGTTGGTCACACTCCGGAACAGCCTGAACCAGGGCCAAGGAGCGGCGGCGGCGCACGGTGGCCAGGGTTGTCCCCAGCCGGCGGCTGTCAAACAATCTGCAGGATCGAATTACACCGGAAACAACAATAACAACAGCAACAACAACAACAACAACATACTGGCCACCGGTAAGTCCACACCTAGCAGCCCATCGAAGTCAACGTTACCACCTCCAGTGTTGCCGAGGACTTCGTTGCCCACTTTACCCGTTACAGGTACTATATTCAACGATAAATTGTGACAGAATGTATGCCAAACACGTCGTAATAATAACATAAAATAAACTATCGTAAACCTTTTTAAAAATAAATTGTGAAAATGTCTTGTATATCATATTACGAACAGCAATATTCTACATGTTATTATGTACGTATGCCACGTCGTATTTTATGCGCTTTCACAGTTTTACGACGTCTGAGGCTTTTAAAATTCGGATAAACTTACACTGTGGGTACTTATATTGTATACATCATATAACATATTATATTATTATTATTATTTCAAAGACCGCATATATACATATATATAATAATATATTGTAGACTGTGGTATAACGAATACATGCGGTGTCGAATGCAACTCGACACGCGTATTATTGTATTTTCTGACAGATTCAAAAAATTGTATCAGTACACATAATCTAAAAATTTATTACCGATTGCTGTTTATTAAAAATTTCACAAATTCCAAAATGTTTGTTGTAATACATTAAGTTTGAGGTTTTATACAATAGTTTCTCCGTCATAGCTGTAACAAAATCACAAAAGCATTTAATCATTTAAAAAAACCTATTTTAAATTACAAGTCTAAAATGTTTAGGTAGAATTTATTTATCAACCAAAATCATAGTATAGGTGCTATGACGTACTTATCGATAAGACGATAACGTCCTTCGAATATCGGTTTAGACCACATTGTTTTCATCATCATTGTAAAATGTGAAAAACCGAAAACAGTCGTCATCGTCGTTCGGATTGGCTTTTCATATTTTCACTACATGCCGACCACCTGCTATGTTCTGCATGTATTTCAATAGACAATCGATGTATAATATTATATATATGTGTACGAATCGATTATAATTTTTTTCCAAACCTCAGACCTGTATCCGATATCTCACCGCCGTACTTAAAATTTTGTCTATGATGCGATTTAACACGACGTGTATAATGATGGTGATTTGAGTGCGTAATAACATCGGTAATTGCTCCATCAACCAAAAGTCAGATATAACAATATAATATTAGCCTATTAATGTGAACCGACCCCCGCGTGTATAATATACCCATTATAATATGTATACCTACGTAGGCAACGTGCATTATGTTAAACGCATAGTATAGAAATAATTATACCTTTTGTGAAATTAATTTCCTCGTACACAACGACAACAACTGCAATAATAATAATAATAAAAATAACTATTATTTTTATTTTATTTATTTTGTAACGCGATGATCATCAGGTGCTTTTATAATCTAGTAATGGTACGCCGTCCAGTACTATGGGAAAAATTTGGTTGTGTAATATAATATCTGCAGAGTTGCAAAGTAATAATTAAAAGTATAATAGCATCCTGCGAAGAACACTTAGCTATGGTTTTATGACTGCAGCATAGGTACCTGCTGCTGCTGCGGCGGCGGCGGAGGTGGTCTGGTACGAGGATATTAATATTTGGTATATAATATATAGTTCGCACGAATACGGTTCGTTGGATTTTCCTGGTATGAAATCGTGTGTTAACGGTGCAATATAGACTTTTATCGTGTATGGTGTAACGTATACTAACCTACTGGTCAATAGACAACTTTAATAATATACTATTACTAAACTTATAGTCTGTTGGACCTGGAGTATAGGGGCCCGGATATTTTATGGGCCCGATGAAATGAATTAGTATTTTATTAAATAATATTTGATGATATAAATGTATATTATAATGTATTAAAAATGTTTGTTATTTTAACCATTGCATATTGATGACCAAGAAATCATGTATGGGACATTGGGACACCATCTATATCGCTTGTAATGGGTTGTATTTTATTGTAAGTCTTGTATAGGCCATAGGGCTAGTAAAAATATTTAGTACAGAGGCCCAAAATGTTATGTGGAGGGCCTGCCTACATAGTACATACCAGTATAGACATTTAGTTACCATGAACTCATCATATTTTCATGTTGTATCATAGTTTATAATAATATATTATATAGGTATACCCGTATAATAAAAGCATTAAACATACATATTATCGCAAAATATTTCGGTTTCAGCGTAAAAATGGTTTTGCAATTTGTCAACATTTTAAAGTTTACAAAATAACGAGTATCTAAGTCATTGGTCATTATTGGTTATAATCACCAATCAGAACTATTTGACGGAAGATATACTTCCAATGTTCAACCATTTGTATAAGTATTCTAAACGCGTTTATACTTTGGAGATCTTGCAGTTTTAATTATGCAATAAGACGTATATTATTAATTATACTATATTTATTAATATTTTTTTGATTTTTAAATACATGTAAAAAACCTAAAAACTTATAAAAACAAGATGCTTAATGAAAACCAAAGTACACTTCTATGCTGAATTTCTGTCTATTTTTAATTAAGTCTACACAATTTATATTTATAAACATACACAAAATAATACATATTTAATATAAAATATATTATGAACTACCTATATACCTACTATATTAAATTTTCAACAAAAAATATTTAAATATCAGAATAAAAATTAACTATAAAATATAGAAAAATTGCAGTCCTTTAATAGCTCTTATTTTCGAGTTCAAACAAATACATTTTAACATCTTACTTGAATGTTTGACAAATATTGGTAGGTATATACCTATATTTAGCATTTTGTGAAAACTCAGATTTACTGATTAATATTATTTTAATTTAAATTTACTTACTTTGAGCATTGAAATATAGATACAACGTGGATTCAACTCAAGGTTAGCGCCAGGGGTGATATATTTTTTTTTAATACAGAGTCAAGAAAAAATGTAAAAATACAGATATAATATGCTGTCTACCTATATACATTTTAGATTTTAAATGTTTTAAAGTATCATTTTAATGTATTGACTATCGAATATCATTCGGCGAAAAATGTTTATGATATAGGTCGATCCTCACGAACAACTGTCTCGCTAGACAGGTCTCTATGCTAGGTTACTCAGACTTACTCTAACCCTACTCGATATATGGGCTAAAAATATACCGCACTACAAAATACCCGATACTTCCCATTACTGTATACAATAGATACAACTGTGTCTAAGATACTTCTATTGTAGATACTTATCCCAACCCGGCCTATAATATTATGTTCGCTCCGATTGCTTCCCCCGAGGTCCATCACTGGAGCAGTAATAGTTATTGCAAACAATTTAACTATATAAACGATTTGACGGATCGGGATTTTACGCACTCTATAACACCATCTGGCGTTTTCAAATAACTATAATTGATGAAATATCTGTATATTTATATATATACTTACGATGTGTCTTTTATTGTGCGCAGATAAACTGTTCAAGGGCAAAGAAGAATCGCAAAACGGCGGCCAAGCTGCCACCGCCGTAGCAAAGTGTCTAAATGCTACGTCGTCGCCGAATTCGGCGGCGGCGGTGGCAACGCAGCAAAAGACTGAATTGAATAACCACCGAACTCACCGCCGATCGTTCCATGGACCTCCGACGGCCTCCGGAAGCGGACCCGGCGGCAACGGGTCGACCCCTGGTGGAGGCGGTGACCTGATCCATCTTCCTGGGCCGTTGACCGAGGATGCCGTGCTCAAGGCGCTGCAGAGTCGGTTCTGCGCCACTCAAATGTTTGTGAGTACTAACATTGTTTCTATTTTTTTGTCAAAAAAGTCTCGACAGAAATGAATAAATTATTATATAATAAGACATTAAGGGCATGCGTAAAAGCCGGTGCGATTTTAATACAAAAACATGTCTTACAGGAAAAACTCGGAGAAACCGTGTCACAGACACCCTTAATATATTAAAATTAGTCAACGTGTTGCGTGTGCCAAACACATACAATATAAATTTTAAGCACTGAGCGTGTTGAGTATGAAATCCTAGTAGGTTCAATTATAATATAGTGCTTTAGACATTCAAAATTCTTGCGCTTGAGTTTCGTACGGACGAGAGTATTTATGAGAGACGTCTAAGGCGAATACTGTCCATTAAACTTTTAGTACTTAGTTGTGGGCGTGGTTTGCTTGAAAACGTATCATGGAAATTGTCCGTTTTATATTATATTTCTGTACACATATTATGAAATTACTATATCCACCATGTATAGATATTCTGCACTGCTGCAGTAGCTGCACTAGAGTCGTAATAAGACCGTATACGTGTTAGGGTCGTCTAAATGTCTAGTTACAAAATAGTTATTGTGATTGCACTGCGGTTTTAATGCAATCTGCAGGCACAGTAAAACCTAGCCACTTTTACGCATACTATTTAGACCTGGGGAAACGCTCACTCTGTATACACTAAACCTCATATCGTATATGTGCTTACCTATAATACTGTGTGCCTTTAACCCCAAGACCTCAAACCACTCGGCCCATGAGAACTGATCGGATACCTACATATGAGCGCACACGATATTATTATAGTAATATAGTAGGTACTATGAATATACAGCGTGATTTTTTGTACCAGGCGAGACGTCAATGAATCACGGGCGTGTATCGTAGGATTTTACTTTAAATCTTTTCAACGGTATCGTATACGACCCGTCACATCTACAGTATACCACTACAAAGCTGCAGTAGAATTCCTTACATTCTTGATTTTTTAATAATTATTTCAGCAGTTTCCACGTTTGAAAGTAGGTAACTAAACGAAATCGTACAATACGTAATTTAAATCTCTGGTTCGCGTTACGATTAACATCACCCTGTATAATAGTCATCACTAATTATTCACTATAAACATGTACCTAGTATATATTGTATGTGTGTGATTATTATTATTGTACACGGGTTATACATTGCATAGGTACATATACATATATATATATTATAATACGTGCATTACCCATGAAAAGATTTTTTTTATTAGGTGTTTGGATCTAGTTGGAGGGAGGGGGATCACGAGATTTTTTTTATATCTCTTATCGACCGACACCGATCTCTTGCGGGTGGCGATTTCGTGATTTTTATTTATCCGCCTTGTGCTACCCCCCGCTGCACAACCTCTTCAATCTTCATTAGTGAATTATATACAGACATAATTATATAATATAGTCTGTGTATATACACAGAGTTCGAAAGTTCCGAGCGCATCCATTTCCAAACACTAAACATTTGTATAGTCCACTTTTGAATATACAAATTTTTCGTGGGATTTAATCATTCGAATTTCCTTAGCTAATAAGTATCAGAAGTATAATAAATACGATTTCCCGGACACTGTTTCAGAGCAATGTCGTTCGCATGACCTAAGTATAGTAGTAGGTCTATATAGCGTATGTTATGTTTTGCTGTTTCTTGAGAGTTGAGGGTGAAAATGTTCAGGTTTTTCCGTGTATCTTTGTGATTCTCCCGTACTTACCCCGTCTTGGAGTATACTATACATATTGTACACAATATACGCAACCTGTCCTATTACACGAGCAGCAAATATTTATACATAGTATAAACTATAAAGTATATATTACCTACATAAGTAGGTACGTTATTTACACACAGCTTTTGACCGAGAAACGCATATAATTATCGGATCATTATAATATTGTTATTTTATATTGTTCACTCGTAGTCACGAGGAAAATACACACAAATAATATCGTATTATAATATAATAACGCTCCCGCGCGTAATTTCATTGTTGTTATTATATTATTTTTTCGTCTTAAACGTGTATACAACAATCAAATAATAATAATTAACGAACGTGCATCGTTTATTGTGTGAAAACATCGGACCTCTGGTTGTCGGTCTTGTAATGGCGGAATACAATTGCCGAAACTGTCGAATTTCGCAGGTGTATCTGTGATGTATAATATACTATATTATAGCCTCTTTGTACAGAAGTGTTGTATGATGTGAACGACTCCCCCCTCCAAATATACACGATATATGGACAGTCATGTCTATAGGGTCCAAACTCCCTCTACCAAATTAGGTCACTAAAATACAGAACCACTGGGAATGTGGGTAGAGCACTAGAGCCATAGATAATAATATAATATACTTTTTGAATATATTATCTAGAGATTACTAGAGTATACCTAGTATTTAACCAAATATTAAAATGAAATTATAATGGAGAACTATATAATGGTAAATATTACATTAATATTTAATACACGTCTTGTTCCAACTATAGCCCTGCATAGACGTAATTTCGACTACGCAAGTTATACATTAAATTTGAGTATTTTGTGTAATCAAATATTGTTGTGATTTGGTCCACTTCTTAAATTGGTTAGCCTAAAAAATGGTTAGTTCTAAATGGGGTTTGTGGCCTGCATAAAAGTATGCGTATTAAAAAAAAATTAAAGACGTCACTGCTGCAGCCATTTTCTTCCATTATCAATACATATAAGAAATTGTCACCCACTACCTAGTTATTTAAAATATATTAATAGATTCCTAAAATATATGATTTTAATAATTGGAGGAAAATATATTTGAGTAAGTCTAAAATAATGTGTGGTGGGATATGGAAAGTACTTTCCGGGGAGTTTTATTTTTTTTTTTTTAGTTTGGAAATTTGTCTTGTTATTGTTCCAACTATATTCCCTTGATACTCTCTTAATCTTAATATTCGAATAAAAGTAGAATACGCTGAAAAAAAAATAGTGCCGCTACACACGTCGCCCGTGACTGAAATAGCTCACTTCCCGCCCTAGCCACATATATACTATTGTAGGTACGTGGGCAGAAAGGGCTGCTTACGAGTTGATTTCCTGGTCATTATATATTATTTTCAATATTTAGTCAAATATTCAGCCTATTAGCCTAATTCAAGCAACACCACGAGGAGGTCGGCTGACAAGTTTTTCAAAAATGATGTTCTTTTTAGATTTTTCATATTTTGAAAATCATTAAATTTTTTGTTAAAAAACTATTAGTAAAAAAATTTAGTAGGTAAAAAAATATTATTAAAAAAATTAGTAATTAAGTAAAAAATTCTTATTAATATAACACATGGTTTTTAAAAATTGGTATTTGGTAATGAGATTACCACCAATATAAACCGTGACATATAATGACCCGGGAATCAACTAATACATCAATTCGGTCTCTGGAATCAACTCACCTACTGCGGCAGAAAGAGTGGTGACAAATTGACGAAACGTTACGATGATAATAATAATAATAATAATATCATGTATAATAGGTATAGGTGCCATCTCGGCTGTCGAGCACGGACCCAATTCAAGTTGGTGTATTATTTACACATACCGATACATATAATACCTATAACGACATAATATTGTATATTAATATATTATTACATACCTAAGTACTCCTTTACACCTAGTGCTCCGTTCACATGCTGCAATATTCACTCGCCTACAAATTCAGTCTTATAATACTTAGGTATTTAAAACAATAAAAACCTAAGCGGCGTTATCGTCTCGTCGTCGCCTTCGTAAAACACAATATGACTTGTACGACCCTAGTAACATTATATTATGTGTATAAACATTATGAGCGAGCTGTGCGGCTAAACAAACATACGGTCGTATGTGGATCTCCTGTATCTATATAGCCATATAGGTGTTGAATAGTATACCGCCTTAATCGTTTTCCAGCGCGCGGCGGTCCGTGATCAATAATATCGTTATCACATCGAGTGAACTCACATAATATTATAATATATTACTATTATATGTAAACCGAAATCGTAAGCGGTAACAAAACCCATGGTTACAGATTTTGATGATGATGACGACGGAAAGCAGAGGATTTCACTAAATGTATGGTAGTGTGGTATTTTTTGAACGCTCGTGTCAAACCGTCGATATAATAATATAATTATGTGCGCTCCTCGCACGCATACGCGACGCTCCAAACGCACACCCTATGCGCGTGAAGTATGTACAGGGTGTGTCAATAGTTGTCGACAGATGACGAGAATTCGTTCTTTGAAATACCGCGTTTATGATATTGTGTTTCGAGAACCAACATAGATATAAGTAATCGGTAACCCCGCGGTCGATAAAATATTAAAATATTATATCATATTAGATTGCGTCCGGCAGGCCGTGCGGTCTTAATGTCGTAATATTATATAAATATAATATACCTTTCGACGGGGAAAAACATCACCAGTTTCCGAAATTTGATATTTTCAACCTCGTCGTTTGTCGGACACTCGAAGATTGTGTTCTACTATATTGAGTCATCGCAAACGGTATACGAGTATCATATTTGAATCTACTGAAGAATAGAATATTTCTCGTCCGAAAAAAGTTTCTATAATATGTGTATTGTGTGTAACAGGCACTATCATTGCCCTCAAGAAAAATGGTCAAAAGTAAACCATATTATGCACCATATGTTCACGGCCTAAACGAATAACGATAAACCTCAATAGTCTTCATAATAATAATTCTTTTCAGGGTTACGGAGTGACCGAGAGGACTAAGGCATCGGTTGCTACGCACCCGACGCTGGTTCGATACCTCGACCATGGGCGGCATTTTTCTTCGGGCAAGTCATGGTGTCCGGAGAACAAGTGCCGCCATCGTCCACCCGGGCATGGCAGACACCTACGGGTGCCCAAATCAAACACACAAGTGTTCCTCCCCCTAACAACAAAAACTTACAAACAAAACTAAAAAGGTGCTCTGCTGTACAGTAGGTTACAAGTGGGCTACTAACCACTGTATAATGGATAGTATTAAATTTTAATTCAATGATATAATATCATTGTATAAGAAAAACGATTCTGAGCGGAGACGGTATGTCAGTCTAGGTATAAGACATATTATATACTTATCTATCGTATTAAAATAAATTTACCTAAAATAGGTACCTATAATAAATTCCAAATTAATCATATCACAATATCTATTAGGTACTTATAATGTGTTATACGTCAACAACAAATCCTGATACCATCATAGTCCATACTCCATAGATATATAATAGTGTACTTTAGAAGTATCAAGTACCTACCCACGAATAAAATTACACAATCACAACAAAATAACTAAAATACTTATTCTAGGTTTTTTTTTATGTAATTTTGTCCAAAATTGAACTTAAAATGACTATAAAAATAAACTGTGCTTATGTATTTTTTAGATTTTTTGGTAACAGAATTAACTATACTTACGTGGAATCTTGTTTTAAATTTTCAATCCTTAGATATAAGAGTTGAACATTTTATACATTTTTAACTACAAAATAATTATTCAATTTTAAATTTGATAAATTTTGTCAAAATTCGATCTTTAAATGCTTATAAAAAAAAATTGTGCACATGTATTTTTAATATTTTTCAACTGATATTGTAACAAAATATCAGGAGCCTTGTATTAAATTTTTACACTTTTTGGCCCAACAGATAAAACTAATTATTGATATTTATAGAAAAAAAAACAAAAAAAAATTGAAAGCTGTAAATGTCCGCAAACAGTTGAAAAAGAGTCAAAATATTTTCAAAATTGTATGGTGTATAGGAAATGCTAATATAAACATTCAATGAAATTTTCATGTATCTACAGTTATTCGTTTTTGTATTACAAAAAATCGGTAATCCCTACCTTATCTCACGTCTGCACCGCCTAAAATGTACGACAATTATCACACAAACTCCATGTATAAATGTATAATGTTACATTTGATACACAAATCAATAGTATGGAAATAAGATATTTAAGTAATAGTAAATTTCCGTCCGATTATGCTTTTTTGCAACCTAGAAGATTCAATGAAAAAATTCCCGAAAAGCATTTACAAAATTAGTTGAGCATGTAGTAAATCATGACGAGAGTACAACTTGACAATTTTACTGACGAGGAGCAGCAGTAAGAACTAAAAGAAAGCACTAACAATTCTGATGAGAAAATTGAAAAAAATCAACAATATTATGCAATAAAATTAAAGCGTTTGTAAATTGTATTTTTTGTTGCTGTTGTATATGTTGTACACACTGCACTATTATTATTATTATTATTATAAAACTAAGGTTATGTTTTCGTTATGTGATTGTGTGAGTGTATACCATGACACATTAGTTCTTCATTAAGTTTTATTATGTTATATAAATTACATGAAGTGTAAAATAAAGTTATTGTACAAATAATGAATTGTGAATTGTTTCTTATTGTAAAATGAATGTACAAATAAATAAATAAAACATGGCGCAGTCGTTTATATTTTGATATAATGTTATAAAGTAACCTATTCGCCGGATTGAAACGAATAAAAAGGCATCATGGAATTTAACCGACCTGCAAATTTAAAACTGACTGGTAATTTAAATGACAACTTTAAAATATTTAAACAAGAAGTTGAAGTTTATTTTATGGCTACTGAGACAAACAGTAAGAGTCAGGAGGTTCAAGTGGCAAGATTACTCAATTTATTAGGACCAGATGGCTTAAAGTTGTACAACACATTTAAGATTGATGTTGTGACTGTAGACAATATTTTCAAGTCGTTAGAAGAATATTGTGTCCCAAGGAAAAATGAAGTGATGGAGCACTACAAATATTTTACTCGAAAACAGGCAGAAGGTGAACCATTTGATAAATTCTACGCAGATTTGCGTGAATTAATTAAATCATGTTCGTTTGGTGAATCAGAAGAAGCACTATTGCGTACACAAGTAGTTCTGGGAATAAACGATAAAGATTTGCAGTCTAAACTATTACGTGAAGACTTACCGTTGTTAAAAGTCATTAAATATTGCCAAGTGGTAGAACAAGCGGAAGCAAATTGTCGACTAGTACAAAAAGAAAATTTAACTGTGGATCAAGTGGAGAAAAGCAAAAACTGGCGTTTCAAATCTAAGGAGGCAAGTAAATCAAATCATCAACAAAATGCAACAAAGAAATATGAAAAGGGAAATTACAGCGAATCAAATCAAGGCAAGTCTAACAGTGCTGATTACAAAGATCAAAGTGTGGGTAAGAATAACCAAAAAATATTTAATTGTTTTAAATGTGGTAATCAACATGCTATAAACAAATGTCCTGCATTTGGAAAAAATTGTAAAGCATGTGGTAAACTAAATCATTTTGCTGTAAAGTGTAAATCTAAAGAAAAATATAATAATTATCAAGTGAATGAGGTACATCAAAATGATGAAAAGGAAGTAACATATTTATCATTAAACACAGTTGAGACTGAGAAATGTAAAAATTGGACTGATATAGTGGATATAAATAATATTAAGATGGTGATTAAAATAGATACTGGAGCACAATTAAATGTAATGCCATTAAATGAGTTTAAAAAATTAAATACTAAATTGGAAAAGAGTAAGGTGATAATTAAGGCGTTCGGAGGTTTTCAAATTAAGTCATTAGGTAAGATTAAAGTCTGTATTAGTAACAATAAAAATAAAATAATAACATACTTTGAGGTGGTAGAGTATGATGAGTTACCAATTCTTGGGTTAAATGATAGTATAAGACTAAGTTATAGCATGAATGAAATAAATGAAATTGTCAAAGGAGATAACGAGAAAGATATTTTTGTGCAAAAAAATATTGATATTTTTACAGGTCTTGGTAAATTTCCAGAAAAAATAAATATTAAACTAAAGAATAATGCAGTTCCTATATCTGTTCCGCCTAGAAGAGTTCCTTATAAAATTATAAATAATTTAAAAGAAGCTTTAGATAATATGGCTAAACAACAAGTAATAATAAAATGTAATAAACCGAGTGAGTGGCAGAGCCCGATAATAGTTGTCGAAAAACCTGATAAAAGTCTAAGAATTTGTTTAGACCCTAGAGAGATCAATAAAAGCATTGTAAGAGAAATGTATCAAATACCCACGTTAGAACAAATCAAATTAAAATTATCAAATAAAAATATTTTCACAGTATTAGATCTTAAAGACGGATTTTATCATTGTGAGCTTGATGAAGAATCTCAACAGTTATGTTGTTTTAGTACACCTTTTGGATGCTATAAATTTTTAAGATTACCTTTTGGACTGTCAGCAGCTCCAGAAAAATTTCAAGAAATTACTACTAAATACTTTGGTAATATAGAAAATGTAAATGTTTACTTTGACGACATACTGATAGCTGGAGAAACACTAGAGGAGCATGACAGGGCATTAAATGAAGTAATAAAAAGAGCTAAACAATTTAACATTAAGTTTAATCCTAAAAAAATACAATACAAGGTTTCTAAAGTTAAATTTTTGGGATTTATATTTAGTGCTGAAGGTGTTCAACCAGATAGTGAAAGAATAAGAGTTATTAGAGAATTGAATGAACCGTCAAATAAAAAAGAGTTGCAATCTTTTCTAGGTATGGTAAATTACTTAAGAGGCTTTATTCCTAATCTTTCAGAAATAGTGACACCATTTAGACTCCTATTAAAAAAAAATGTTTTATGGGAATGGTCAATAAATCAAAGTACAGCTTTTGTGAAAATTAAAAATATTCTATGTGAAATTCCTAGTTTAAATAATTTCAGTCTAAATGAAACATTTGAAATACAAACCGATGCTTCGGAAAAAGCAATAGGATGCTGTATATTCCAAAATAAAAAACCTGTCCATTATGCATCTAGGTGTTTAAGTGATTCTGAAATAAACTTTGCACAGGTAGAAAAGGAAATGCTTGCTATAGTGTTCGCATGTACCAAATTTCATTATTTAATATATGGGCAAAAACAAGTAAACATTTTTACAGATCATCAACCATTAGTTTCAGTTTTAAAGAAAGAGATCAATAAAATACCTAATAACAGACTGAGAAGATTGAGGGTTAAACTATTAATATATAACATACATCTAGAATACCTGCCTGGGAAGTATATGTACGTTGCAGATTTTTTAAGTCGCAATTACATCAAAAGAGAAGAAAAAAGTGAAGAGATTATGAATGATATTGTACATACATTGGGTGAACTTGAAATTAAATTTGAAAATAATAAGGAAACTGAGTTTAGGTTAGCTACATTAAATGATGAGGTTTTAAATCAAATAATTGGCTATTTAAAAAATGGGTGGCCTAAAAAATGTACTTCAAGAGAAGAACTAAAACATTATTACAAATTAAAAAATGAAATTATGTTAGAAAATGAAATGTTATATTGGGGAATGAGATTAATAGTACCTAAGGTAATGAGAAAATATGTTATTAAAAAGCTTCATAGCACTCACCTGGGAATGACCAAAACAGTTAAAAAAGCTAATCAATTATTTTACTGGCCAGGTATGAAATCAGAAATTGAAAATTACATTGGGGCTTGTAATATATGTTTAAAATTTAGTAAATCTAAAATAAAAGAACCTATAAAAAGTCATGAAATACCTATGATATTATTTACCTATGATATTTCAATATTATGTTAAAAAAAAAAAAAAAAAAAAAAAAAAAAAAAAAAATACATTGTATATTATAATTTTCTTTTTTTTTTTGTATAAAAAGGGAGGTGTTGTATATGTTGTACACACTGCACTATTATTATTATTATTATTATAAAACTAAGGTTATGTTTTCGTTATGTGATTGTGTGAGTGTATACCATGACACATTAGTTCTTCATTAAGTTTTATTATGTTATATAAATTACATGAAGTGTAAAATAAAGTTATTGTACAAATAATGAATTGTGAATTGTTTCTTATTGTAAAATGAATGTACAAATAAATAAATAAAACAGTTGCTAACAGTACCTACCACTGAAATATAATCTGTACAGCGGAGCTTACAAGACACTATTCTATGCATACAAATTTATTCTATTATTGGCTGTAGCTTGTGAAAGAATGTTTTCAAAATTTAAATATAATATTCTCAATAGAATAAGAAATTCATTGAGTCGAGATAAATTTTATTAGAATCATTTATGCTTATGTCAGCTGAATCTGATATTTTGATGGGGTTGGATAATGAAATCATAATCGACACAATTTCGCAAAAGAGCTCAAACTTTAACAAATTGCTGATTATATATTGATGTGTATTCTGAAGTCTAAACATATGTATTTTAAATAAAAATAATAACATTTCTTTGTACTAACCAATTTTTAATTTTTTTAATATTTAATAATAATATTAAGTGTTCAAATTCTCAAAATAATATACAATCATTTTACATGAAAATATATGTTTTTTAAGGTTCTTTTTATAGGTATACCTAAGTGGGCCAATCATTTTGATTTTCCGGTAGAAATTATTGACCCAGTCCGGCTCTGCTTGCACCATAAAAACTCTTAAGGGTGTAAATTAAAAAAATCCCTATTTGGTTTATAGTATTACTAGCGATTTGTCGTGGCGTTTGTATACTATAATACCTGTACATGTAGATCCGTCTGTAGATTGAAATCAAATTTTCCGCCCATCAGAAACGTGGGTGAAAAGGTCGTATGCATCGATTAATCCATTCGATGTTAAGCGGTAACAAATTGGAGTTCGTCAACCGCGCCGATCGATTTAAAAATATTCTAAATTTATGTTCGTATTTGGCGAAGTATATAGTATGCACTATGCGGTGTGATCATAATTTATCGGTAAATACGAGCGTGAGCTTAGGTGGGGGATGGGGGTTGAGCGAATTCCAATCGGCAGTGGCGATATACCTACTTGCCCTCTGTGTTTACACCACAATGTTTAATATAATATCTGTATATACGTACGGGTAACCTATACCTGTATGGATGTATAATAATAACGACGATATAGTAATAAATAATAATACGAGCGTTGTCGATTATTATTATGCATATATCTTATACATTTATATCGATTTACCCGTGCTCGTCGTATATTTACGCACGCCTGGAGGCGACGTCCGATGGATCTTTTGCGACTAGGGGGGACGCGGTGGTAACTATAATATAACGTACCTACGTATATACATATACAACATATTATGATTTAACGATAATTACAATATACATAGGTACAGTAAATATAGGACGTGAAATTAAAAACCTAAATCGGGTGTACCTGCGCCCAGTGCACACACGCACACTTATACCTGCACGTACGAAAGTACCGAATGTATATTATATAGGTATATATACCTATTACCTATACGATCTTGCCCTCGGGACAAAGCTATTAAGCATCGACGAGCGTGTGCTGTATACAAAATATCTATATATGCAGTCGGGCTGCTGCAGGGCGGGCTCCTCGAATTCGACGCCGGCGGATTTGACGAGAAACCCCTAATTTGTTCGCCAAGCCGAAACGAATTATTATACGTATAATATGTACTCGCTCGCGCGCTTGTGTGTGTATTATTTTTATTACCGAAAGGATACATACTTACCAAAAAACGACAAAAATAAGAATAATAATCCATGAGAAATTAATTTTCCAAACCGATAATAATTTTTTGAATATGACGTACGTACAGCTGCAGTTACAGCAAAAACCTATATATAATATGTATATTAGTATACGACGCGTATAGTAGTCCCTATACTTAATAATATTTTTGTTGTTTTTTCCATGCGGGGAAAATCGAGAGAGATTTTGTCTGAAATGTTGGGCGTTATATACACGTGATTATGACGTATACTTATTCTTAGAGATAGGATGTTGATGACCTAAAAACAAATTCTTTAATGCCCTAAAAAATTCAGAAAACTACCTAAAAAATTTTAATTTTAAGTTTAATTTACAGTAAAAAAAAATATATAAAATTATTATAAAAAATTAAAAAGTAAAAATAAATAAAAAAATATCAGTTTATCATTGTTTTTCAAACCCACATAATAAAATAATAACAAAATAATTTTTTTAAACACATTTTCTTTAAAATCTGAGATTTGAGAAAATTGCAAAGTTGTACAAAAACTACAAAAATTACTTATAATATGAAAAACTGACCTGAAATTATAATAATGGTACATTAAAAAACAAAAAAAGCATTTATAACTATAAACGCTTAAATTATTTTTAGGATATTTTGAATCGAGAGAATATCGAACAAATTTTTAGCTAAGATAGCATTTTATAGGATGAAAGGAAAACAAATGCAAAAGTCATCAACATCATATGTTTACTTTTTAGTTATTACTTACAAATATATACTTTATATACGAGTAGATAATGTCGTATTATATATTAAAATATATTATTCTATCTCTATCGCAGCGTGGAATTACTCGTTTTTTAGAGAGTTGATTAGGAACTTTAAATTCCAACTATAGTTGTAATAATATTATATTCCGATTTATTCAATTACTCGTCTTTCGAATATAAAATATTATGATGTATTGTTCGTCAGACGAAAACACGCGAACCTCGGTCGTTTTTCCGATCGGCAGAATTTAAAATGATTTTTTTCACTACCTATTGTTGAAGCATATATTTAAAGGAAAATGAACTTGATGTTTAATTTTTCGTGTTACAGACAAACGTGGGACCTATTCTGCTGTGCATGAACTCATACAAAGACATCGGTAACCCTATGACGCTCACCAGTATGAGAGGCGCCACGCTAGACTTCAAGTTGCACAAGGTCATTCTGGACGCGGTCAGACAGCAGACCGAATCCGGATATCCGCAGGCCATCATACTTTCTGGTTAGCATATTATTGTTTATTGATGCCTGACGTTATTACAAACTTATCGACTTAAACTTACCACTCAAGAGCACATCACTTGTATTTCCACTGAACCTTTGAGTACCTACCCGCCTATACGATAAAAATATAAATATCACCCACGTACCTATTGTACACGGAAATATGTTTTTATAACTTAATTGTGACGACGGGACTTTTGTTTTAAGGTGTTAGTGGTTCCGGTAAGACGTACGCTTCGATGTTGCTGTTAAGACAGTTGTTCGACGTGGCCGGAGGTGGACCCGAAACGGATGCTTTCAAACATCTGGCCGCCGCGTTCACAGTTCTTAGGTCATTGGGATCCGCCAAGACGTCTTCAAACTCGGAATCCAGTCGAATCGTAAGTGATGATAAATATAATAATATATGCGTAGGTATGCAATGAAAAGATTTTTCGTGTACGTTCACTGATTTTCACGCTTGAATTTGTTCAACGATTTTTTAAATTTTTATGTATACACAAAGACCTCATTTCAAACTATTTCAACACTTTTATTGTATTTAATGATCATTGTAATACTGCCACATGTTATGGTGTTTAAATTTGTGGGACAAAAAGTTCGTTCAAAAATCGTTTTATATACCTAACGGTCATCTGTGACATATTTTTTTCAGGGTCATTTTATCGAAGTACAGGTGACCGACGGTGCTCTGTATAGGACTAAGATACACTGTTATTTCTTGGACCAGACCCGAGTAGTGCATCCGCTGCCAAACGAAAAGAACTATCATATATTTTACCAGATGTTGGCCGGCCTATCTCAGGAAGAAAGAGGTGGGTCATATTATTCGAAGGTCCTCGTATATTATGATATAATATACTTGTTAATACCTATGTCATTATTACCTTCGCAGCCAGTTTAAGAATAATATTCATATTGTACTAAACCATCGTTTACTTTCTAACCTTTCAGTGAAATTAAACTTGGAAGGATATTCGCCGACTAACCTCCAGTACCTGATGCAGGGCGACACTAGACAGGACGAAGCCGAGGACGCAATAAGATTTCAGTCATGGAAGTCGTGCCTAGGTATGTTTGTGTCCACTGCTCATAATGACCACTTGTCCATGCGTATACAACGTTCAATAACAAAAGCCAGACCATATTAACCGTACTCATCATAATGTTATAATATGGCATGTTTTCCGTTCGCAAAGGTCTCCTCGGCATTCCGTTCATGGACGTGGTGAGAGTTCTGGCCGCGGTACTGCTTTTAGGCAACGTCAATTTCGCAGACAACGGGTCTGGCGAGGTGGTGGCCAAAGGTGAGACCGAATTGGCGTCAGTGGCCCGGCTACTGGGCATCACGTTCTCGTCGCTCTTCCGTGGCATCACCACCAGGACACATTCCGAAACTACTCGGGGGAACACCCAACTGATAAAAACCACTTGCGACGCCAACACAGTAAGTTTACCGAAATAATTTATCGAATGATATAGTTTTATTCATCATAATTCAGTATACGTCATAATAACGTTATATGAAACGAACCGATTTAAATTGTATGCAAAAATAAACAATAACTTTTGGAATTGTATGTAGGCACAGATTGTTGATTATTTTTAGATATTCATATTTAAATTGTTATGTTTAGTTGCGAATCACATATGACTCGTTGTAAAAAACGAAGAAAAAGCTAACTAATTTAATCTTAAAAATTCAAAATACTACCTTTTGACTTATGCATATATTTTTGCTCGCTCCACAGGCCAATTCGATAAGAGACTCTCTGGCTAAGGCGTTGTACTGCAGGACCGTGGCGACCATCGTGCGCAGGGCGAACAGTCTGAAACGATTGGGTTCGACGTTGGGCACGTTGAGTAGCGACTCCAACGATTCGGTTCATAACCAGGCCGAGGTGGCTAGTCAGCACGCGTCCACCATCGGCACGGCCGGTTCCAAGTCGAGCAAGTCGATGGCCGCTCTCAATAACGCCGTAAACATCGCTAGGCACGCCACGGACGGGTCCATCGGAATCTTGGACATGTTCGGGTTCGAAGAGCCAAAGGTACGTAGTATTACAATTTCGATGCAGTATGTAAACATGCATAATATGAACACATAATTTTTCATTTGATGGCGAAATCATCTTCACCTTATTTGAGGTCTCTTCACTACATATACGACATGCGTAATATAGTAATTAGTAGTTCCACAAGAACGAACAAGTGTCGATTATTAGGGGTATTACGCCCTGGAAAAATTGCGAGTTTTGGGTTTTCATAGGTTGGATAGGAGGTAGCAATTACGTTTGTATAAAACAATTTTTTTTAAAAAAATAACTAAAACTTGATTTAATATTTTATGTCTGACTTAATATAAATGACGCTTTTAGTCAACATAACAGTATAAAAACAACAAATGTATTGAATAATAAGGTGTTTAGTTTCTTAGTGACAAATCATCTATCACTATTCGTCGGGTATCCCTTTTCAAAACGTCTCGCACAAAGACTACACCTATATAATAAAATAAACAAATAAAAGCCGATCGCGAGACGTCCCACCTTACCCAACCTACTAATCAGACACAAGCATATAATAATAACCACCATGTCTCGAATTGTACAGCCTAGTCAACTCGAACACCTGTGCATCAACCTTTGCGCCGAGACGATGCAGCATTTCTACAATACTCACATATTCAAATCCAGCATTGAATCCTGTCGCGACGAGGGGATACACTGCGATGTGGAAGTCGATTACGTCGACAACGTCCCCTGCATCGATCTCATATCGTCGTTGGTGAGTAAACAAAGTTTTTTGTACTTGTACATTTCTTGTCAAAACAAGTTATCTCATATTTAGGCTGCCCACATGAACGAGTTAACATATTAAATCTAATTGATCTTGGTATATTAACTCTTTGCACTAACTTAACTTATTTGACCCACCCGCGTTGGTATAAACGTAACTCAATAATTTTTCAATTGCTCAATTTAAGTTGAATCTTGAATTCTCATTAGTCATTACTCATTATCAGAGAAATATATTTTTTTTCCTATGTATAATAAACATTATAATGTGTAAGATTTTAAGTAATATAATAATAACATGCACTATATGCAGCAATTGAGTACCTAATCTATATGTTATAGGTATAATCTATAAATAAAAGTTTATTTATTAAATAAATAGAAGAAAAAATTCAGTCAACTCAATAAAAATATATGATTTATTTGTCCGGCCTTACATATTATACACTTTATAACTTATATAACCTTTTTTTTTTTTTTATATAGAGAACCGGCCTGTTGAGTATGTTGGACGTCGAATGTTCCATCAACGGATCCGTTGAGCTGTATTTGAGAAAAGTGAAATCTCAGCACAGAAACAACCCAAGACTTTTTGAACCCAAGTCCGTGGACCAGAGATCATTCGGTATACAACATTTCGCCGGCAGGGTCGTGTACGACGCTTCGGATTTCCTAGGTATAGAATGGTTACTTTAAATATATCGTTACTATTGTCATATTAGGCATAATAGTTAAATAATGAGGAGGTACATATTATTATATACATTCCTCCTGACAAAATTATACATTTTTCGCCTATGTGAAACCATGATTCATTTAAAACTTAAACTGACATCCTAAATTCTAAAGAAAAAAATCAATTTACAAAAAACAATGATTCTTTATTATGTAAAATTATGTGTATGTAGTTTATTGTAGTTACTAAATTTCCAATCAGTTATGTTATACTATTATTAGTTATAAATACATTTTTACTAAACATAAAAATTGATTTTCATCCCATCATGGACCATGGTTGAGGTAAGATGGGACATAAGTCTTCATTCATAACAAATACAATTAGTTTCAAATCATATAGGTAGATATTTAAATATTATTGAAGCTTATAAGTTATAATTTTTGTTTTTTTTATTGTATAAATACATTAAACATATACTTACAATTTAAGTACAATAACATTTATCAGGAAAATTATAATTAGGTATAGTATTTAGTTTCATATCTAATGTCTAAATGATAATACCTATAGGTGCCTATATTTGCTGAAAAAACATTTACTTTAGTATACTAGGTGTATTTATATAACAGGATAAAATAAAGCCGAATTTAAAACTTAAAAAAAAAAAAACAATAACGTGGGACATGGTTCATCTTGTTCAGTTGTCCCACTGTATTTTTCCCGTCTTACCCCAAATAGTAATATTTTAGGGAGACGGAGTGTCCGAGGCTGATTCGATACCTCGGCCATGAGCGGCATTTTTCTTCGGGCAAGTCACGGTGTCCGGAGAACTAGTGCCGCCATCCCCCACCCGGGCATGGCAGATACCTACGGGTGCCCAAATCAAAAATTCTGCCAAACAAACACACAAGTGTTTCTCCCCTACCAACAAAAACCTACAAACAAAACTAAAAATAGCTCATGGCCTTAGTTGCCGGTCTAAAAAAAAAAAAATAATAATAATGTGTACCAATAGTATTCTTAAAATAAGGATAAACTACTAAAGTCACATTAATCGAAACTTAACAAAACAAGACCATGGACCATCTCCACTCACAATCATTTTTTATTTACAATGATATAATATCATTGAATTCAAATTTAACACAATATCTATAACTGTGACCCATACTATACCTAATGTACAGCAGAGCGGCGGTACACACTTGCCTATATTACATATTTACATGTAACTGTTTTGTATGTATTTGTGTAAGTAACTATAATAATATTATAATATAACTTCTGCTAAATTTGAAGGTACCTAAGATCCTAAGATTTCCAAACCTTTTTTAATTGAAATAAATCGTACCTATAGGAATATGGAAATGTGTAATTACTAATTTATCAAGATCTGACGAATAAATATTTTGTAATTGCGATTTCAGAAACTAACAAAGACGTAGTGCCGGACGATTTAGTGTCCGTTTTCCACAAACAGTCGTGTTCGTTCGGTTTCGCCACGCACCTGTTCGGGAGCGAGCTGAAAGCGTTGTACAGCATAGAAACAGTACCAAGAGGAATAAAATTTCGAATATCACCTACTTCGCATTCCGATCTGTAAGTCAAATATGATGTCATCATTCTATATCGCAAATAAGTGTTTAAATTCAGTTATATTGTAAATTTATAACATATTTCGGACAAAAAAAATAAAACGCTGATTAGTTACTATCTAAGGTATTGGTATATAGCACACAAGACACAAATGCTCCAAAAACAAATATATGTATTGCGCCGATAGTCGTAGTTTTTTATTTGTCCGACTGATGTCGCTAGTGAATAAGAAAATTTAACGATTTCATTTTTTAACGATAATACTTGTCGTTTGCGACGCGAGTATGCGATATACAAATTGGTCAACTTTTCGTATAACCACTTGTCTTCTTGATGAGCAATCTCTTTACTACCCCCCGAAAAAAAATGTACAAGTATTAAATATCAAAATTCTTCCGATTGATATCAGAGTAAAAGTGGGCGATTCTCATTTTAAAAAAATAAGTTGGTATTACCAAGCTTCTGCTTATGTAGTTTTATATATTTAAAAGTTCCAAAAATCATAATTTGAACTAAATCTAATTCATTATTGAAGGAAAAAAACAAATGATAACATTTTATACTCGTTTATTGATCGATTAATATGTTTGGGATTTTTATACATAATTGCATACCTTTGCATAAATCTATCGAAAAAAATGCCAGCTTCTCCCGAAAATTAATTATTTAATAATATTATATATTTATATATACTTACTATGAGACTAAAATACATTATGTTTTTATCGTTCTGAGATCGATAATTCTGCTTTAGATTGAACTAAAAATCCATACCGAATATAATCATTGATTTTTCCAGTTTAAACGGCAACGAGCCCGTGTCGACGTTGACTCAAGACTTCCACACGAGGCTGGACAACTTGCTAAGATCGCTGGTACATGCCCGGCCACACTTCGTACGTTGTATCAAGGCAAACTCAACTGAGACCCCAGACAAGTTCGACAGAGCGGTAGTCATGCGACAGATACGGTCGTTGCAAGTTCTGGAAACAGTCAATCTGATGGCGGGAGGTAAGTCTGCGATAATAGATGCACTATAACACAACGGTTATCTATGTACTTAACCACGTGCTGCAGTTATAACGAAATTTTTTTTCACCAGGCTATCCGCATCGGATGCGGTACAAGGCGTTTAATCTGAGGTATAAAATGCTTGCACCTTTCAACAAACTCTTGCGGACAGACGACCGAGCGACCGAAGACTGCCACCTGATATTGCAATGCATCGAGAACAAAATTGACACGAAGCAGAGCGAAGTGAGCATGAGTTGGGCTTTTGGCAAGAGACACGTCTTCCTCAGGTGAATATTTGCTTCATACATGTTTTACGCACGCGCGTCGCACGTTTATTCGCAGATAGTAACAGAGTTCGACAATTTCATATTTCAATGCATCTATTTAGTCATGTTTCAACAGTTATCATTCATTTACTTATATATTCGTTCGTTCGGTTGACAAAATTGTGTACTTAACCATAATACATCACGATTAAAGAATTCAATGTCATTAAAATATAGTCCCTGCAGTAACTTAACATAATAAATAGGTATACTATATGGTTGGACCAACACAATATTTTGATTGGAAAAACCACTCACTATAAGATTGGGATGACAAAATGTTATTTAGTGCAATCGTAATATTGTTATTCCAACCAAGATATCGTCTCTGATATTATCTTAGTTTCACAAATATTAGTATATATGATGCTGTCCATTGGTCCACACACCGCACGTCCACCACTCCTTTTGTAATATAATATTGCAGAGTACTGACGACACTCTTGTGTACTTTATCGTGTTTCAGCGAGGGCGTAAGGCAACATCTGGAAAAACTCCGATGGCAGACTCGTCATAATGCGGCTGTACTGATACAATGCACTTGGAGGAGCTGGAGGACCAGAAGAAAATGGCCGGGCACCAAACGAGTCATGATGCAAATGCAACAAGTGTCCAACCCGATTGTACAGTGTACGTGGGCCAGTTTGAGTATTTTTTAAGGATAACTTAATAGCATGTTTTCAGAATATTCCGTCCGGCATTTACTATACCAATATCAATATCGATATTAATATTATCTAAGAATTGATGAAACTGTATACCTACACAACTTACTAGTTCGATAATATTAATCAACGGTCACGATATCAATATTTTTTATTATATACGATTGTCATATAATTTCTGATATATGAGTTTAGAATACAGAGTTTAGAATAGCAAAACACCATTATTACTACTATTACATGTTGCTTATGTTTTTTAAGTGTTGACTGAATAACAAATTATTATTATCATCCTAACACCCTTAATATTATTATCGTTAGATTTTCGTGCACACGATATCTTATTATTTAAATTTTCTCAGTTAGTTATATAAAGTTAAAAGCATATATACACTTTTAAACTTAACTAATAGTTTTATTTCATCTAAATTATAGGTCTTAACAACAAAATGGGTATGGGTGGAAGGAAAATGACTTCTGGTAGTCAAGTTCCAAATACCGGAATAACCAACAGCGGCCCAGCGACTTTGACTAGACCCAGGCCACAACCCATCACTGGAACACCTCCTCCTGATCAAATTGAGAAGTTCGATCAGAAAATAATACAGACTTGTAACCTATTTGGGTTGAATCTGGTAAATATTTTTAAGCAATTATACAAGAGTTCACCATTTTAAACTATAATTATTTATGATATAATGTGCTGGCAATATTTCTTTTCGAAACATTTTTATTGCTTTTGAGATGTATTTATTTATTGGCATTTATAATAATAATTTTTTGCTGTCAAGCTGAACGTAATATTTTGTTAGTTTAGTTTTATTAAATCGACAATAAACCACGGTTTTTTTTCATTACGTAGGTGATTAACTTTTTACTGACACATATTTTCATCTAAACTTACTATAAATTAAGAATATATTTTAACATTAATTAGAAAATATAGTAGCATATAAACCAATGGTTTTTGTTAAGTTACTTTTGAAAAAAATTAATTTATTCGTTTAATATAATTGTACTAAATAATTACTTATATGAAAAGTAACTTTCTTTTCTTACTTTCATGTTATAAAAAAAAACCCAGAACAAGGGTATAATAGTATTAGGTAACACCAGCCTAACCTACGGATAAATATTGTGTAGCTGTAAATATTAATATAATTGCGTAGTATTTTATTTAGAATATTATAGGTAATTAATCAAGTTAAATACAGTGTAAGTAAATTAATGTTGTCCAAACACTAAAATCTTAATTGTGACTAATTAAAATTTAAAATAATATAGATAGGTATACCTAACCAGTTGTATAAATGTATAGTAGTAGTATTATTATTTTTCCGATTAATTATCGATGGTGAATACTTGAAACTGTAACGTGTTATATTTTACTAATTACGTCTTATCAGTTATCAAAAATAATTTCCATTACGTTTTCGTTACTTGGAAAAAAATTCGAACGAAATTAAGTTATTAACAAAAGTTACTTTAGTTACGTTCCTGTCCATTTTCCAACAATGGATCTTGGTAACTGAATTTCCGTTGGTTAAAAAGTAACATAAAATTCTATAGGTTGCCAAAATCAGTAGGTACACGTCATTACCTATATAAACATTTAAAACTAACTATAACTAAACAGGCAATTGCCGGTTATAATCAAGTTAAAAGTAACTGTTGATAACGTAATATTTTTATTTTCCAGGAAAGACCTCCGCCGTTACCTCCAAGTCGGTCGTATACGATATCCGGTAATACGAAAATGGGATATCCGCAAAGCCGTATCATGAAAAAATCTTTTCCTGGTACATATTATACCGACTTAAATAAAATAAAAAACAAATTACTCGATATCTAATATTTTGTAACGATTGGATTTTCAGAAGAAGGAAACTGTGACGTCACGCTGATAAAAGGCGACGCTGTCATTGTGGTAGGTACGTCCAACAGGAGAGGACACCTGGTCGTCGAGCACTGTAACAGAAGTCTGGAAGTGCCATTCCAATTTTTGGAGCTGAAACCAAGGCCCGTCGCTATCTAACATCCTTTTCCCCCTTAATTTAGACATTGAGGTGAACGATGCTCAAACACGAAACTTATGATCAAACCTTAATTTATATTCTTCCAATGTGTTATATAAATATTGATTGTTGAATTTCTAGTGTAAAAAATTATATTTTATATATGCTGACGAAAAAATGCCTATCCTAATAATATAACTGTTAACTAACTGTGCTATATATATATATATATATATAGAATACATTCTAGTACAAATTTATGTTTTTCATTCCTGTCACTCGAAATATAATTTTATATTTAAGTAATAAATATATAATATATATTTATCATGATATGCCATTTTAAGTATTTTAAGTTTTAATTGTCTATATAGGATTTATTTAAAAAGAATTAACTACGATGTAATAAATTATTATGTTTTATTGTTTTATATTATCATTATTATTATTATTATCATCATTATAATCGTGCCAATATTATATTTAATATGTATACACATCAAAGACGACATTTCAATTTGTTTTTATCAAAACTCTAATTTTAATTCACAGTTAATTTATCATTACAATTTTATTATTCATTATCTGTGTAGGATGAACACGACAAGAAACCTATGATGTTGTATTTGAAAGTGGTCGACGCTCAATTATTATGCTCGCGTGCCGATGATTACATCTTAATATTAAAATAAATAAATTACATGCACTGGTCTACCACCCTACCCGAGTAGTAATTTTCGTTATTCGCAGCTATATTCATCTTAGTACTCTGATATCTAGGCCACGAAAGAACCCCCAAAGTAAAATATTCTATTTTCATCGATATTAAATGGAATACCAATATTATCACAAAACTGGTGCAAAATAAATTAAACTTTCAAGTACCTACATTAAATTATAGATTTTGAAATTGTTACAGGTATGATGTATATAGTACATATTGCATATTATACAGAGCGAGTGATTCGCACTAAGCATGCTCATTATTTTCCTCTAATATGAACTCATGCAAATTCTGATTTTTGGAATTTTTAAATATACCTACTTAAAGATCATATTTTCAAATTCTTAATATTCTTTGTACTACCTACTCAAGAAGTGGGCCGTATCAATATCAACCATACTTTGTTAGGCATTTCAGCATTTATTTTCCTATTACCCCAACATAAAATTCCCCCTGTAGATAATACTCTCGGTTGGCAGCATTGTTCTTATTGAAAAATGAATACCTATACCTATATAGAACCAAACCTAAGTCAATAGAATACTCTGGTGACTGCGGGCCGTCTGGAGTTAAAAGAAAATGGAATATTGAGATTAGGTATTTTGATAGATAGTTGATGCTATGTCGCTTTCTTGTATTTCTGGAAAAGCACAACTGACACGAACATTTTAAAAATATGAATATGAAATTAAGTACAGTGTGGGTCACGGGAATAGGGACAAAAATAGACAGGTTTTTCTCAACATTGAATGTGAGTACAAAGGTCTAGATAAGCTCATTCGATCCGTCAGATAATGCCATTTCGTGTCACTTCACTATGGCGCAGTGGAGTGTAGTTCACCGTGTGTGTGAAAAACAATGAATCGGTAGTTAAGGTGCTGCTCTCAATTGGAAAACAATTATGAGGTGGGTAGATAGTTTTCGTATGGGGACAATTAATAAAAAAAAAACCAAACGGTCCCAAACGTACTGTAACAACTCCCTAGAATACGGAGTCTTACCTTCTGAATGCGAACTGTACCTTAACTACCGATTCATATTGTTTTTCACAAATGCGTCGTACACAAGTCACAAACACACGGTGAACGACACTCCACTGCTCTATAGTGACAACGAAACGGCATTATCTGACGGATCAAATGAGCTTACATTCCTACTCACATTCAACGTTGAGAAAAACCCGTCTATTTTTGTCCCTATTGGCTATTCTCGTGGCCCACCCTGTATTTAATTATAATATTAAGGGACGACTACCCTGTGCAACTTATATACACAGTATATAATATGCTACCACTACGTTTTTTCAGGGCAATAGCAGCAATTCTTATAGTTGCGTGTCGCATATTGTCATTTATACTATTTGGTTTTATTTGATGCACTTGCAAAATTGACTAGGTATATATATATAACCATTCAGGGTAACGTAAAGTTGCAAAAGGTTTGAAGTTAAATACAACATTCCTCATAACACATAAGTGGTACGACGGTGCTTATAATACAATATTAAGGAAGGTAGTCACATTTAGCCCTATAGTCACATTTTTTTTTATCATTGTTAAAGGATCAAATGTCAATGAAATTTAACAAAATAACGAAAAGGTAATACAATAGATTTCTAATAAGTTTTTCTGCCTACACTGAATTTAGAAAAAATGTTAGTCCACATTATTTTTGCAAAAAAAAAATTAATTTTGTGTTACTGCGATGTGTTTCTTTTAATATTAAGTACTAATTTTTCTGATAAAATGGATATATCGGAAATTAAACTTTAAAATGAGAACAAAAAAAAATGGGATGAGATCTGGGGTCTTCGCAGGGCAATGATGCAGTTAAAAAGGAAAATGAAAAAGAAAATTATGAATTATATAAGTAAGTACATTACTATTAGTACCTTTTGCATGGGCACATGCCGAATAATGAAGTCTATTATTTGTATTGATTTTTAGCTTATTAAAATATTAAGTTTATTAAGTTCATTAATGAATTATGAGACTGAGGTCACAAGGAATTAGCTTCTGGCTAAAGTATAAACAAAATTGAACTTGAATATGAATTAAAAGGTTGAGAAGAGGAATGAGCTGGCTCCTCTCCCAATTTTTTTTTTTATACATTGAACTCAAGTAATTTTTTTTATACGCATTTTTTAATTTTACCAGCTATAGAGCTCTGAATAATCATTTATTAATGAACTTATTAGAGTTAATAATTGTTTGGGCTTTTAAATTTGGAACTGATGTACTATAAAATATAGACTCTGACTTATACTACAATATGATTTTATTTGAAAATATTTTTTTTTGCTCTTAAAATGGTTTTATCTGCAGTAAGCTTAACTATTATTTAAAAACAATAAATAACCAATAAATGGTATTACAGATATTAAGTTAATCGTTTAAAAGCTCATTGCAATTGTTATTTACATGTATTGGTTAATATTAGATTTTATTATCTTAAGTCTTTTCATACGTTTTTCCATGTAAAAAAATATTTTTAGAAGATAGCTATAATATTATAAAAGAAAAAACTATGTCATACATATGATTATATTTAATTTTTTTATGGTATATATTTTTAATTTTATTTAAAAACAACTGTGTAGAAATAACAGAAACCATTAGTGTTAAGGTTATTTACAGCACTTTAATTTTGCATCAAATTTAAAACTATAATATATAAATACTATTATGGATTATATTTTAATATTAGTATTATACAGTTAATTACTCCATTTTTTTTAAATATTGCTCGTTTGATAACTTGTATAATTAGGATATTAATTTCAAACACAAATATTGAAGATGTCTGTCAATTATAATTTTTATGTAAATGTGTAATGTATAGTAGATAACCCTGGGCCTCCACACGAGTATGTCTCAGTGAGGCCCAGTAATCTCATAGATTTAAATTTAAATAAAAAAAAAAAAAAAAACTTTGGCCTAGTGTTCACGGGACCGTGGACATAATAATGGTAGACATACCCATTTATTGTTGGACACTCTGGTTCGATCACATATCTTCTATAAAAAAAATTTTTAAAAATAAATATCAAACGTCAATTTATTTGTGAAAAGATAAGTTTACATCATCACGTATTTACTAAAAACCTGGTAGTAAAAAAAGTGAACGTAACTTTTGAACCGATTGGTTGTTTTCAAGGTCAAGTTCATCGATGTATCACAATACTTTTAATGATTTTGTTTTAATGTCCACTCAATTTCAACCAACGTAGCTTAAGCTTAACTATTTAAAATAATATTTATAAGGAAAAAATTTGTTTTTTGGTTCTCCTCGAAAATTGCGATTATGGCGTATACGACTTGTTGTTTGTAACCAGGTATGTCATTAGAGTTGCCTACACCAAACCCTTAAAAAAATCTTAATCTTATAATATAATATAATTCACGCCCATTGCACCGTAATTAGGTGGTAATAAGAAGATTGACAACAAATTAATTTCTAGCTCCATTCTATTTATTTATTTTATTTTTTTAAGGTTTCCATTCCCACAGACTAAATGTGTTTACTGTTGAACGATAAAATATCGAGCATAATATGACAAATTGTTTGCAATTTTACGATGGATTTATATTTTGATGATACAAACTTCCAAGTTTATCTGGTAGATGACTTAAAATATTTATATTCCTAATCCCCAACTCTCCTAAAAAAATTTTTAACTCAGGTGCACTCGGGGCAAGTAAATAAGCAAGTCCAATTTCCGAGCTACTTGCTTCTTTATTCTTGAAGTAAACAAATTAGCAGTTATTGTTCGCATACCTACCAAACTTTTTTATGCAAGTAGGTAATTCTTTATCAGAGCAAGTTAGGTATTTGTCCACGAAATGTGTCATGGTAAGGGATAGAAGGTCGCCAGTAAAATATAATAGGGGCAACTACAATAGCAATTTTAAGTCATCGTAATATCATATATTATTATATATGTATCTAAGTGTATAACATAATAATGAAGTATGTATATAATACTATATTATAACACAATAATTATAATTATTATATATGCATATAATTTTCCAGGGGTGGCCACGACGAGACTCACGATCCGCATGTGGCTCTTGAGTCAGTTTCGTGTGGCTCTAAGTTATTTCTATAAATAAATAAATGTTATAAATGTGTCTTGAATTTATAATCCATTTCATAAAGATATCTCAACAATGTGGCTCGCTTCGAATTAGATTCATAAATGTGCGGCACCCAAGATGAATATTAGTGGTCACGCACTCAAGCCTGTAATTTACTGTATGGCTGTATGCCTATATGAAATAGTATTCGTTTTCT